TGAGGATAAAGCTATGGGACAGCAAGAAATTCCAACGACTACGCTACAAAAATTCAGAGTGGAGTGGAAGCAGTAGTATTCTTGGCTGACCTGGACTATAATTATGTGGAAATTTGCGCGTTTTCTGTTCAGAAATTGTTTTATTCAGAATGGTTATTCAAAATGGCGGCTGAAGGCGATGCGGAACGAAAAGAAAAGCATCCTCCGTGCAGTGTAAGCATATAATCGCAGCTTCTTAACGTAGCACTCATCTGAAATAGTATTTTTTAGGGGTAGTCCATTTTAGGGTAGTCCATTTGGGTAGTCCATTTGGGTAGTCCATTTGGGTAGTCCATTTGGGTAGTCCATTTGGGTAGTCCATTAGGGTAGTCCATGGACTAGGGGTCAGAGTTTTGTCCATCACCACTTTTGATCTCTTGTTTATGTTTTACAAGGGACCATTGTTGTGCAAGCAAGCTTTGCGGTTTGCAATTTCCGCTTTTTCCAGTTAATAATTGATATGATTAATCATTTTATCTAATAATACGTGGACTTGACTTTCCGGGCTGGGAATCTTTCGTTCGGATTTCCTACAGTATTTGCCGTGGCCTCGTGCGGGAAAATGTCTGCCGAGCAAGAAGAAGTGGTTATGAAGATGGTCGGGAAGAGACGATGTTACTTCAAGGAGAGATTGGAAGCTCGGCGAAGTTTCTTCTGGGAGCAAGAACTCGCTTCTGGAGAGTTATACGCTTCAACAATCGTTTGCTTTACTGAACACTTCATGGGGTTGACTACGTCGTCTTCGAGTCATTCAAAATTTTTCTTGGAAAATTTTAAATCAAATTTAAGGTTGATTCAGTCGAATTGCGACATAAAATGGATGTTCCGAGCTCGTATTCGGGATATTTGAGCTCGAAAACTAGTATCTTGACGAATTTTCACCAAACAATTAAGTCGCGGAAAGCTTGGGTTGTGTAACATTCGAGTGGTTTCCATTGCTGAAGTCGTAAACATCGATGTTTTTCAAATGGGTAACTCAGCAGTATTCGTGCGTGCGCGAGCGCACTTGTATTAGTTCCACAGCAGCATAACGAAGTCAGTTCCACGGACGTGTGTCAATTATTACAGTATTATTTTATGAGTGTGATGATCATACGTTGATTAACATTAACGTACACTTTTATCGAACTAAATAAGGTCGTATTTCTGATGGAATGGCGAGCTAGAAGTAATGATGACGGCACCGTAGCACATTTGTAACTACGGTTTCGGTATTTTGGTAAATTTCCATGCGGTATTGCGGTTTTTTACCTTTTTTTACGCGGTTTTGCGGTTTTCGGAACCCCCCTTACGCCCCCCTCATACTACGTAAATGAAGCGTGTTTTTGGTGATCTATCTACACTGTAGTATTACACATACATTTTCTCAAAACTCAATGCCGTACTCTTTTCCTTCGGTTCAAATCGTTGGTGGTTCGTTTCCACAAATTGTAGCCAGAAAAAAAGGCAAGGTACCACAAGGGCTACTGGATATTATTGTCAACGTTCACAAGTCACTAGTCAAACTTTGCATGTTCATGAACACATGTATGAAGGAAGGTTTTGGTCCATATTACCGAGTTCTGGAGTATAAGAGGCTTTGTTTTCATTCCAAACCGCATCTCGATGGAACTTTAACCGAGAAGCGACCACGAGTCCTGAAGGGGAGAGAGAACAAAAAGTTGCGGATAAAAAGTTTCCACTTAGCGCGGCGCAAGTTTCTTTCCAGTGAAAGTGAGTCAAACGAACAGGGTTCAACAGAACAAAGTTGAGGTTTGCCTCTGCTCATATAGACGTTTAAATCACATTTCCTTTTGTCTTCTAAATTTATCGAGGGTGAATGTTTTTATTAAAAAAATCAATTTTGTTTACACCACTACTACTGTTTTGTAAATTTTATTTGCTTTATAAGTAAATTATGAATAGTGCAGCTCATCTATAGTCCCAGCTGAAAAAACGTAAGTGTACGATAGTGAAAAGCCACGAAATTCAACGACAAAATAATTCAGTATTCGTTTGGCATTGTGGCTTATTCCTCACAATCAAGTGATCTTACTAGAGAGAGCCGAGTTGCGGACATAAGTAGAGTGAATGCTCCCTCTTCGACAATAGGTTAGTAAAAATAAACAAAACTAGTGAGAAATCACTTCTTATTTTAATCTAGGGTTGTAATTCACCTTGTTTAATCGAAAGACCAAAACTTTTATGGTCCACTGAAATTCAGGCTACGAGCATTTAGATACCACGAGAAGCGAATAAAAACTGATGCAAATTCCCACTACTCGTTTCAGCTAAAGAGTGTCTTCTTGAGATTTCAAAATGTTTAATATGTAAGCGCGTTTATTAGAGGGGCCTGACAAACGATTGCCACGTTGATCACTTCAACAAGTGAAGAACATTAATATTTTAATAGCTGATAATTCAAGGTTAGAGTTGAAAGTGAAATAGAAGTGAAACAGAAGTTACTTGGAAGAGCAACTTCACATACGCAAAATTCAAACTCCAAAAGGGCTTACCTTTTCTAGTTAATCTACGACTATATGGATATGGTGGGAGTGATACCACACTTAGTAACCGCGAACATCTGCTTTTGCAGTAGCGACGAACGAGTCTGTCAGTTTACAATGAAGGGGTTATTCTCAAGTCTTGTATGAGAGTCTATTATACTCTGACAGTTTAGCGGCTTAAGCTAATTTTGAGTGCCGGTTTGCGGGTAAATTCACATTATCTGGCGGTTAACGGTTAAGTAATTATCGTACAGTTGCGGGAAATCATAAATTGAGCTCGCGGTTTCGGTTTATGCGTGGTTTTTTTTTTTTTTTTTTTTTTTTTCTTTTTTTTTTTTTCGGTGGCGGTCTGTTAAAGGTAAATGTACATTTCACAAGCTTGTTTGAAAGACCACACAAGCACAAACACACCCAGGACTCAAACCTTGTACTTCTAGGCTTCGTTATAAACATCGCATCGGAAAAGCCCGTCGGACATCAAAACGCTTTGTTTGCTGGTTACTGAAGGGAGTTACAAACAATTTGTTCTGTTCTTAATAATCTTGTGGTCTTTGCGAGGAGAAATAAGATTAATTATTGAGCTAACATATCGTAAAAAATTTGTTACGTACCATTAAAAGATCGGTTCTGATGATTATGTCCTACTAGTAGGGAGGTTTCGGTTTTTAGCAGAAAACGAAAATGGTCTGCTGTTTCGAAGGAACAAAATATGGTGGTTTGCAGAATGTTCAACTCTCTGTAATAGAGCCTCTTGTAATGACTCGGCCGAGGGTATTCGTTGCTATGAACCACTTTCAACTGTCTGAACATCGTTTATGCTACCGCTGACGTCATTTGCTACTGATCAATTTATTAAAAATACTATAATCAATTCCATGAAACAGCGACTATAATCAATTCATTAAAAACAGGTACACAAGTGTACATGTGGTCACTGCTGTGTACGAGAAGTACGAAGGCCGCTCATGAGATTTTAGGTGAAAATTTCATAAAAGGTGCGTTTCTTTAAGAAAATCCAAGATTGGATTCTTAAATCCGTAAACGGATTTTGCGTTTCTTTACTTAACAGATTAACGCAAGATCAATCGGATCATGGTGCATCAAAGGAACCGAAGAATCCTTGCCTGGAGTGGATTCTTCGGTTCCTTTGACGCACCAAGATCCGAGAGATTAAAGAAACGCACCCAAAGACTTCACACCAAAGAGATCATTTACCGAGATAACTACTTATCAACGACTATAAGATCATTTTCAAAATATGAAATTACATGTGTCAAAAAAAAAAATCTACCAAAATATAGATTTTGACAAGTTTATAGAGAGAAAGAGTGGAAGAGACGATTTTTCGCTTTTTGTTTTTGTTTCGTTTTGTTTGTTTTCTTGCAGTTTTCTTACATAATTTTTCATGAATGCGAGAGCGGCTAGTAACCTGCGCAGTTTATTCGGGAACAATATAAAAGTAAATGTAAACAACTTCAAATAATTGCACTCCAAGCACAAATAACAGTCTTGCTCCAACTACGCTAACCTTAATGCTACTTTTCGTCAGGATGAGAGGAAACTGTGTACCCATGGTGCTCCGCCGAGCATTGGAGCTTACTTCATTCATTTGCTTTGCTTCCCTGCTCATCTTCACTATAAGAGATAATTTGCACTTTAATCTAAGGATATCGGATTCCGTCAACAAACATCTGCCAAGATCATCGTGCAACGTGGAACTCGAAATCGGAGAAATGTGCCCGAAGCTGTACACAGACCTGGGAGGCAGGTGCGAGCTCGACAGCAGCGGGTTCCATTGTCCTGACATTCGACACATGGCTGATACGTCAATGAGGCAGTCCCAGCTTGTGATGACCCGGATGTTGCAGATTTTCCATCTCATAGCCACAAGACACAACATACGGTACTGGCTAAGTTCCGGCACGCTCTTAGGCGCTGCAAGACACAAAGGTTTCATTCCCTGGGACCACGATGTCGACATAGAAATGCCTCTGCAGGATTACATCAAGTTTTACAAAGTCGGAAGCAAAGAACTTCCGAACGACATCTTTTTTCAGAATTCTGAGACAGACGTTTATTTAAAATTGGCCAAACCCGAAGATCTCGTCCTCCCGTTTCACCACGAAATAGGTTATTACACAAGCCCACTTAACCACCGCTTGAGGGACAGAGCCAGTTGCTATGGTTACTGTCTATTGTACGACTGTGAGTGGCACGACGGTCTTATGATAGACTTGTTCGTGAGCGAAAAGGAAACAAACGACGTGTTTCCATTGGGAGAAATGGAGTTCGAGGGTTTTGTATTTCCAGTTCCAAAGAACTGGAGTGGGATTTTAAAGGAAACATACGGTAACGATGCGTTAGAAATACCTAGGGACGTGACGGGACGAGAGCCCTTCATACTACCATACCCGAGGAAAACCTGCAAGAAATTAACCATAGAAACCGATAATCTGGACTGAATGAAGAAAATCGTCTATCTCCAACTGCTTCCACTAGTGAATGCAGTCAAGTGATTTCATGTTATGTGTTCACACCAACATGCCAGCACTGTTTAGTTGACGGCACGCTATTAATCATAACTCTTACAACCGAATATCTGTATTGACGAAAAAAAAAAAAAACGGACAGGAGTATTTTTTCAAAAACTAAAATATCACCAGATATGTATCAAATTAGACTGTAAGAGCGGGGGACGTGTACAGCAAATACTAATTTTCGCAAATTCGACGGAGACGGGCGTTTGTAAAAGTTGAATACTTCCAAGTTCGAAAAGGGCCAGAATTGAGGGATTGGGGGAGGGGGGGGGGNAACAGGGGACAGGGGGCAGAATTGCGCTAGGTCAGAGTACGCCAGGTCATCGCTCGTTTCGGATAATGAGCTACTGGGAGTAGTACTTTAATTTACCAATATAAATCTCATTTTCGTATTCATACCCTGAGAACTACATGTATACTCCTTACTATCGTCTACACAAGTTTGCAAAGTTTCACATAACCAAAGCAATATTAGCTGCTTTTGGCGAGAGGCCACCATTGAATTCGTCGCGCGAGGTATTGTGGCAAAAGTTCCTCTCGACTTCGATTCAGATTGGCTATTTTCTGTAAGACGTACGATGAGCGCGAATGGTCGAACGAATCCACGTTGGAAATGTTCATTTGTGGAGCAAGTGAGTTATCGTTAAATGGCCTTTTTAAATCGCGCACGACTTAAGACACGATAGGTGTTTCAGTAAATACAGAACTGATATTGACTGTCCTTTCCCTCAAGCATCGGAAGCCAAGGCATACCTCTGAGAGATTGTTTTCGTTCTTGTTCTTCGCTGTGAAAAGAAAACAACCGAATTCAAGTATCCAAGCAATGGCTGTCTAGTTCAGAGAGGAAATGTCTGCATTTTCCGAGTAAGACTTTAATGGACTCACAAACCAGTGTATCGGAGGACAAAGCGCCGGTTGATTCTACTGAAACTAAAGTGAAAACAAAACTGAAATGTAAGTTCATATTAACCGTGCAACTTACGTATAAAAGATAGGGGAATAGATCGGGCGTAGGGGAATACAGGAACATCGAGCTAGCAGAATCAGTACGCCGGCGCTTTCTATTGAACCAAAAAATCCAGTGGTGAATGGAACAGTATTTTTCACAGTTGTCGGAAAAGAGGACAGCCACGGAAGCTTTACCCAAAGTTTCGGAAATTTCTTACTGGGAATTTCTGCTCCATTTGATTTTTAACCCGGAATTTCTGAAATATTGACTTGAATGGCTCGCATTTCGAAAATTTAGAGATTTTAGGATTTTCCGGGAACATTTCCAGGGAAATTTCCGCGCCATTTGCCCCAGTTTCGAAAATTGGGGAATTTTTGTCGAATGGAAAGCGCCCGGTATGTAGTATCCTAATTTTCATGTCGTTTAAAATTTCTTATGGAGGAGTTCAGCATGGAGGTGAAATATCAAAACTACACAATAAGAAAAACAATTAACATCTCAAGTTAACTTACAAATAAAGTGGTCTCTTATCCGCGACAGCTTCACTCGATTCTTCAAATCCTAAGTAAACATTAAACTTATTTTATCCATGTTTATTTTGTGAAGTAAGATAAGGGTCTTTAGCATAGTTCGAAATCCTTCAAGGGCCAATTTCAATATATTGAAATTCCAACTTCCTTCCGAAGCTTGGGGGAACCGAACGACACAAAGGAATCCTACAACCTCGAGTTGATTGCTTTCCTTGTGTTCTCCCAAGGAGCCACGTGAAATGTCAATACATTAAAATATTGCCCTATTTGCATGTATTAAGGCACTGTTAAATGGTTCACTCAGCTTTATCCAAAAACGTGGGCACAATCGTTTCCTCCAAAATCATCTACATGCATTTGCTCACGCAATTAGCTTGGCCGACCTGTGACGCAACGCGCGTAAGCTGGGGAAAAACAGATTGGTCGAGAACAAGCATGCTTTTTCTAATTGGTCAGGAAACTTAGCATGAATTTTCTTCAACCAATAACAGCTACCAGATTGTAATGCTCCATTGTTTCAACCGTCAACCAATTGATAGAAAATACCTGTTATCACAAAGCCTACCTCGTGTCTAAAGACCTCTCTACTACAGGTATCTCGTCTAGGGTTGGCAACGACAGCTCTCTTCACTCCTATAAAGAGCACCAAGTATTATTGTAAAAAAAATGAAGCTAATATAATTCTAGAGTTTTCTCTTGTGCTACTCTGACAACACAGTCTTGTCCTCAATTTAAACTTGGTCAATATTATCACTCTTAAATCGAGTGATGCATGCGCCGTGTTCATTCGATAATTCCTAACTCTGCAGGGTGTGTGTTTCTGGAGTTCACAACCTTTACGAATTCACTTACGCTTTATAAATTTTCACCGCCAAAAAGGCAAAAAAACACCACCTTTGCCGTCTCTCGTTTGCAGGTTAGCACTTTTGGGTTTATCTTAAAAATATTGAATAACTTCCCAATTTTCTGATGGATTTGATTAGGCAATAAAGGAAGAGCAGACTGCATTCAAGGCAAGCTAACACTAAACAGATCCTTTCCAATTTAAGCAACTGGAAAGAAGAAGCATGAAAAAAATCAGGGCTTCAACGGGATTCGA